TGGCGACGGACCTCGAGGACGAGGTAACTATGGGGGTAGAGGTAGGCGAGAGAGTGCTCGAGAGAGACTCGCATCCTAGGAAGTTGGAGTTACCAATTTTTGATGGAGAGGGAGCTGATTTATGGATTTTTTGACGGAGCGTTATTTTTCCATTAATAGAGCTATCCGAGGCGAGAAGCTCAAAGCTTGTTGGGGTGTGTTTTGAAGGCGAGGCTCGGGCCGGGCTTCGATTCGAAGAGAGGAGCATAGTCTTTACTACGTGGGATGCACTCGAAATCCCAAGTACTACAATGGTTTACGGGGTTGCGAGAGGGCTCCTTATCGAGTCGATTCTTCGGCTGTTAGCAGTATGGTTCGAGTGGCTAAGTATAGAGCTCGGTTTGAATATTTAGCGACTTCGGTAGGGAAGGTGGATGACGAGACAATGGCGGCTGTCTTTGTTAATGGACTCGATGAAAAGTTGCGGGTCGAGTTGATGGTGTTGAATCCGAAACATTGAAGGAGACCATTGAAGCGGCTAGCCGGATCGAGCAAAAAACCGGATCCTTAACCTGACCCAACACACCAAAGCACCCAAAGAGCCCCTTCATTCCAATCTAAATATGACACTAAGACCATCTCTTGGACCCCGACCAAGCCTTATAACCCATTCACCAACGACTAAGCCCAATTCCAAAATCATCCGGCCCACTCACTGCCCACCAAAACAACCTTTTCTCATCGAAACCCGATGCCGGACTAAATATAACTACCTCATTCACATCCCGATTTCGAAGATTAACGACGACGAAGCTGCATCAAGGAGAGAGCAAGGGTTGTGCTACAAGTGTGATGAGAAGTGGCATGCGGGCCACCGATGTAAGCAAAGGGAGCTGCATGTCTTGTTGGTTAGTGAAAGTGATGAGGTGAGTTAAGCCGAAGGAAATTTCGAACCGAGTGGGAGATGGAGATTCACTAGGGGAGTGGAGTTATCTCTTAATTCGTCGTGGGTCCGTCCGAACCACGTACTCTTAAGCTTAAGGGAGAGATCCACGGGTTGGACGTTGTGGTATTAATTGATTGTGGAGCTACCCATAATTTCATTTCAACCAACTTGGTGAAGATTCTCCAGTTGTCCGTGCAAGACATTAACCAGTATGGGGTTGTGATTGGGATGGGGCGGCAGCTTAAGGGAATTGGGGTTTGCAAGGGCGTTATCCTCCAACTGCGGGGCCTCACGGTTATAGAAGACTTTTTACCATTACCGTTGGGCGGTACGGATGTTATATTGGGATTGAAGTGGCTTTCCACTTTAGGGGAGACAAGGGATGATTGGAAGAAGCTTACAATGACATTCGAAATGGGAGAATAGACTCGTGGTTTTAAAGGGAGACCCGAGCTTAACAAAGGCGTTGGTATCATTGAAAACTATGATAAAGGAGCTACGACGAAGAGAAATAAGGCATTATGTTGGAACTCTACCATTTAGTGGCCGGTGACACTAATAACACAAGGACTAAGGTACTCGAAGTGCGGGAAGTGTTGAATGAATTCCTTGATGTTTTTGTCACACCCGTGGAACTACCACCTATCCGAGGGCATGAACACGCTATAATACCGAAGGAGGGGTCCGAACCGATCAATGTAAGGCCGTATCGATATCCCCACATCCAAAAGAATGAGATTGAGAAGTTGGTGACGAGAGATGTTGATCTGCGGGCATAATTAGGCCTAGTGTTAGCCCTTTTTCCGAGTCTGTTTTGTTGGTAAGAAAGAAGGATGGCAGTGGCGTTTCTATGTGGATTACGGACCACTCAATAAAGCAATTATTCCCGATCGATTCCTTATTCCCAACATTGATGAGTTGTTGGACGAGCTCCAGTAGGGCAAAAGTGTTCACTAAACTCGATGCGAAGTCGGGTTACCATCGGATTCGGGTTCAACTCTGTGGATGTACACAAAATGGCCTTTCGAACCCATAAGGGCCATTATGAATTCTCGGTGATACCGTTCGGTTTAATGAACACCCCAGCAACCTTTCGAGCCTTGATGAACACCGTCGTCAAATGACTTCTTCGTCGGGATGTGTTGGTATTTTTTGATGATATACTCATTCATAGTCCCTCTTTAGAAGCATATGTAATTGCATTTGAAAGAGGTTCGATCCTGTTGCGAGCTCATAAATTGTTTGCTAATGGCAAGAAGTGTTGTTTACGCCAATATGAACTTGAATATTTAGGTCATCTCATCTCGGAGAAAGGCGTTGCGACGGATCCGGAAAAGGTGAAAGTGATGGATGCTTGGCCGTTGCCTAGAAACCCAAAGGAGTTGAGGGGTTTCCTCGGATTGATGGGATATTATAGGAGGTTCGTCCGTAATTATGGAAAGCTCGTGGCACCTCTAACTCAGCTGTTAAAAAAGACTCAATTGGATGGATGAAGCAACTCGGCGGTGAAGATTTTGAAGGAAGCCATGAAGAAGGTGCTCGTCTTGGCTCTACTCGATTTCATCGAATCATTTGTGGTTGAGACCGATGCTTTTGGTATTGGGTTGGGAGTAGTATTATCTTAACGACATCGACCCATAGCTTTCTTCGGTCGAGCCTTGACGGGTAGAGCACGGTTCGAGTCCGTACTATGAGCGAGAACTCATGGCAATTGTGATGACGGTGCAAAAATGGAGGCATTATCTCGCTTGGGCATCATTTTATTGTGAGAACAGATTAGAAGTCCCTCCGTTACTTGCTCGAACAATGCATGGTTGCTAGTGAATACCAACGATGGATGAAAAAATTAATGGGTTATGATTTTGAGGTGCGATATCGACTCGGCACTGGAGAACAAAACAGTCGATGCCTTGTCTAGAATTCCTCTCTAGCAAGCATTACTAGCTATTTCGAGTCCCTTCTTGGGTTGATTGGGGTTTGTTGCATCGGGAGATTTAACAAGACCAACGAGCTTTAGTCCATTATCCAAGCCTTGGAACTTGACTCGACATCTAAACCTAGGTGGAGCCTTGATCATGACATATTGTTTTATCATGGCAAGCTGGCCATACCTCGAACCTCTCAATTTATTTCCCGAGTTCTTGGAAGAATTTCACAACGAGTCCTACGGGAGGGCACGGAGGATTTCTTCGAACTTATCGGCGTATTTCCAATGAACTCTATTGGGAAGGAATGTGGGCGGATGTTAAGAAATTTATGGCGGAATGTTCGATCCGCCAACGAGCACAAGTATGAGACCTTGTCCCCTGCCGAACTTTTGCAACCCCTACCGATACCGCAAGTTGTGTGGGATGACATTACCATGGATTTCATTGAGGGTCTTCCTAAATCCCGTGGCTATGATTCCCTATTGGGTGGTGGTGGATCGTCTCGGCAAATACTCTCACTTCATATTGCTGAAACATCCATTCACGACAAAGGTAGTTGCTTGAAGAGTTCATGGCTTAAGTGGTGAAGTTGCATGGGTTTCCCGAAGTATCGTGACGGATAGGGATCGTATCTTTCTTAGCAACTTCGGACTGAATTGTTTCATTTGCAACACACCCATTTACATAGAAGTACTCGCTTACCATCCTCAAACCGATGGCCGAGTGAGGTTGTCAATCGCTACCTTGAAACTTATCCGCGGTGCTTTACTAGCCAACGACCACAACAATGGTCTCGATGGATTTTTTGGGTTGAATTTTGCTATAACACCTCCTTCCACACGTCTATCAAAACTACCCGTTTCAAGGTCCTATATGGGAGGGACCCTCCACCACTAGTATGGTATGCCTACAACGAGCACCACCAACTCAACTATTGATGAAATGTTGCAAGCACGAGACCCGATGCTCTCGGAACCGAAAGAACAATTGATTGTTGCTCGGAATTGAATGAAGAAGGCTGCTGATTTGCACGGACGGGATGTGGAATTTGAGGTGGGTGACTTGGTCTATTTGAAACTTAGGCCACTATAGATAAAATTCCTTGGCTTCCCGTCCTAATGAGAAGCTTTCCCAAAGGTACTTTGGGCCTTATTCCATCGAGCAAAGGGTAGGGAAAGTTGCGTATAAGCCGACACTACCACCTTCCACCTCAATTCATCCGGTCTTCCATGTCTCTCAATTAAAGAAGGCCATTGGAGATGCTACCGCAGTACAACCTTTGCCTCCTGTTTTGCATGCTAATATGGATTGGGTATTGAACCGGAGAAGGTTCCGGATGTGAGAGAGTCACTTGAGGGGATGGAACTGCTAATCAAGTGGAGGTCACTTCCGGATTTTAAAGCAACGTGGGAGCCGCTACCTCGATTCGGGCGCTATTTCCTACCTTCCACCTTAGGGACAATGTGAGTGTTAAAGGGGGTATTGATGGACCAAGTGATAACGAGGTCTCTAATAAAGTTTCATTACGTTCGAAAGAGGCATATAGGATTCCAACGAGCTCGGATCAAATTGACAAAATTGATAGTTTGTTATCAATTTGTCTCTTTTGCTTGTATCGTGTTGTTTGTTTCGCGGGTTGTATTGCGACTCGGCTAGTTTGTTAGTCGGCCTAGCTTATATATAAGTAGGAGGGGAAAAGCATGGGGTATGATTGGTTATCTTTTATATTAGAGGGGTAATAGGAGAGAGGTAGCCTCTAGAATAGCTACCATGGTATTAACCCTTGTAACCGATATTCCGTGAGGAATATTGCATTGATAAGAATTACTTTTTCTCCCATTTACGGTGAACTTCATATATTTGTTATTTTCCTTGGTTTCATTTCTGTTCTAGAGTGTGTTCTTATCATATGATCGAAAAAATATATATTTAGGGAACATGTTATGCTCTGTCTTGATGAAGTATTTGCTTCAACTTAATCCCTCGTGGGACAAAAAAGGTCCTGGTTGTTTTGGTGGAGGCAAATGCACATTCGCAATCACCGAACGACATTAGAAACTAGACCTTTTATGGATTCACAATCACATTAATCAAAACTACCCGGAAAATATCAACGAGAAAAAAACCAATCTATCCGGCCTCTAACACTAAAATCGAGCACTCGTTAAATGAATATGGTTTTCTCGGCTCGGTGAACTTGGTTCAATAGGATCCCTTTCGATAAAAAAACTTGGATGTTTAGGCTGAGGCAATGGATCTTCATTACCCAACATCAAAACCACAGATGACATGCTTGGCCTATCAACTCGATTTCCTTGCACACAGAGGAGAGCCACATGAATTGAACGTAGCACTTCATATAGATTGCATACTTCAATTATTGATTCCGAAACCAGTTCCATAGGCCTCCCTTCATCGAACAGTCTCCAAGCCTAATAAACAAAACCATGTTATAGAATACATATTTGGCATCTAGAAGAAAAAGTTTCCACAGACAATATGTTGCCCTCTAGGATCCAAATCCAAACACAGGTCCTTGTCCATGTCAATTAACACGCCAAGCATCTGGTGGAACCTCACACAAGTACTAGTGCTATAGAGTAAACTGAAATGAAGAGTCAAAGTAACATATGTTTGAAACTTACATGCCCTAGAAGGTTGAGGCTATGATCTGGATGAGAGAATCCTCTGTTCCTGTTCCCACTTACTATCTCTAGCACCAACACACCAAAGCTGAACACGTCCGATTTCAGCGAGTAGACTCCAAAATTTGCATACTCTGGAGATATGTAGCCACTGCACGTTTTCATAGAATGTTAGCTAGGTTGCATTTGTGAAAAATGCAGATAAAACCATACTATGACGAGGATGCACTTACTATGTCCCAACCACTTTATTAGTATTGGCTTCAATTTCATTTCCTCCAAAACTTCTAGCCAAGCCAAAGTCAGAAATTTTTGGGTTCAGTTCATAATCCAGCAAAACATTGCTGGCTTTCAAATCTCTATGAATTACTCTTAGTCTTGAATCTTGGTGAAGATAAAGCAGCCCACGAGCAATCCCATTGATGATTTTGTAGCGTGTAGGCCAATCTAGTAGCATTTCGTGTGTTTCATCTGCACAATTTTTTGCTCAAGTCAGTTCATTCTGGTTCCTGTCAGATCTATAAATAAACATGAAAGAAAAACAAAACAGGTGATTATGATTAACACTTGATAAATTTTCAGTTATAATCACAAATTAGTATCTTTGCTCACATACAGTTGGTTTTGGTGTTTGTCAGATCCCATGCTAAAGTGTAATAAATGAAATATTTTTGTTCAGTTTTTCTTAGATTCATACTGAAAATAAAGAAGTCCAAGCTTTGGTTCGGCAAAAACTCGTACGTCAGCATCTTTTCATCTCCTTCAATGCAGCATCCTAGAAGCTTCACTAGATTCTGATGCTGAAGTTTCACAATACACTTGACTTCATTTTTGAACTCATCAAGTCCTTGTCTTGAATTCTTAGAAAGCCTCTTCACAGCTATTTCTCGTCCATCTTTCAGTGTTCCCTGCAAATAATCACTCAGTATCATAAGCAGAGCATACTTTGTCTTGCTAAAGTTAAAAATCATGGTTTGCGATCAACTTTCATTGGTTGAAACTCTTTCCAAATAGTCATTGTTTTACGCTAAAAAAAAAGGTCAGTCCTGTTGTTGAATAGTTCCAATGAAACTAATACCAAGACAGAACTACAATGGTGGCAAGAGTTTGTACCATGTTCTGAAGTCATCAAGGTTTTGAATGATTGATTAAAGATTGGTACCTTGTAAACAGGTCCAAAACCCCTTCTCCCAGTTTATTGTCAGCAGAATAGTTATTTGTTGCAAAAGCCAAGGTACTCAAATCAAACAATGGTAGTTCCAGATCTTCCTTGTATTGCTTGTTAATATTTCCTGCAAGCAGAATTGGTATGAATAAAACAGCAGGAGATATCTATTTTCTGTTATGATCAAATTTCTTTGACATAAAATATAACGAGCACTTTAACGATTTATGAGCACCTTAGATCACTTTATATCAAATTTGCAAATTAATTTAACTTGCTATATGCTGCCATAGGAGTGGTTAGATGTTCATGGAGTGGATAGCTTACCGTTTTTCTGCTGCTTCTTTCTCCAAACATACAAGAATAAAACTAGGCCAAGAAACAGAATTCCTGTAGACAACGAAGTGATTAATACGATCCTTTTCTTCACAGTCTTTGCACTGTCACCATTATCTACACAATGGAAAAAAAGCAAAACGAGAGTTAAATGACAATGATAGGAAATGCTGGAAATATTTCATTAGCAACCGGTATCCTTCCACTGCAGTTATCTACTCATACATTCCTAAACTAACACTGCTCTAGGCCGGGAAAATCAGACTACCATGTCCATGTTAGGAAGTGATATTGGTAAATTATCATGCATCATGTCACATTATGATTTGTAAATCCACGATATCATGACCAGAAAGGAGAAGAGTAAGAAAATTTGTGATTTCCCCGTCTTCACTTTTGCTTGAGAAAGCTTAATATTAGAACAAATCATTTAGGCAGTAAATCTAGTTGGTATATGACACACTACAAGTGATACTAGAACTTGAGTAACAGATACTGATTTTTCTGGTCTGAGGATAAATTCGTACCTAGTTCTGATGCAGCCATTCGGATATAAATATCTTGCTCATTTTCTACAAGAATTCTGATATCAATCAGGTCATCAAACCAGAGCAAACACCCACTTCCTCCATTCCGGATGTCCAAATTTGAATATGCTGTACAGCTGCAGTTCTTCAAGCACGTTTTCTTGCATTCCTCGAGATTCATACTCGAGTCAAACCATGACACTTTTGTCTCTGGCATCTTCACTCCAGAGAGCTTTTGAAACTCATCTGCAGAACAATGTAGTGGAGTCCTTCTAACACATCCACCTGACCATTCTGTCATGGCCCAGTCTCTTGGAAATTTTGGTACAAATCCGTTCAAGCAATCACACGCTGGAGAGCTGTTGATTTTGCAGAAACCATTTGCTCCACATAGTGAATAGCGATCACAATTATCTGTATTTGTGGTTTCATATAGCAACCAACTTCTTGTATTCTCAATCCATGCAAAGTTCTGGATATCACCACTCTGACTTGTCACGACCCTCCATTTCACTGATCTATTAACAAGATGTTCACTATAAAATATCTCCGTCTCGTTAATAACAAATTCAAATGTGTACACAGGATTTTGTTTTAATTTAGGTACACCGCTGAACCGGAGACCATCCCATGGTCCAGACCGGTACATCACATCTGAATCTTCCATCACTAGTATCTCCGGATATCCATATGGAACAACTACTTGTGTGATATTACCTCTGGCAGGATCATTTGGTGACTTCCATGATGTCAAGTACCAGTCCATGCCTGTTATTCTATTCCGTCCTAGCTTCATGTCGGGCAATAACGTATCCCCTGGGTGTTCAAAACTCTGCCAGAAAGAATTTTCCAGATTGTTATCACCCTCCTCTTTCACCACAAGGTTTCCCGAATCCAAAAGCTGAGCAGCTGGATTTGTCGTTGGTCTGGACGAGTTAGAGGACCAAATTACGCTTCCATTGTGATTGAGAATGACAAGAATTCCTTGGTTGGTAAGTCTTAAAACACCTGATGAATCATTAAGAGGGATTTCCCTGTTTGCAACCCAAACTACCGTCGTGACTGGTATTTTTCCGTACCATATTCCCACATATCTGTTCTTGGAGTTGCCTGGGCTGAAAAATCCTAATACATAGGTTCCTTCAGCTGAAACTATGGTATCACCATCTCTAACGGTCTGAGTTGTGTTTATGGTGTCAATAGCCGTGGCTGTTCCTATAATCAGCAATAAAGAGAAGCAAAAAGGAAGTACGGGAATGTAATCTGTTGGTAATCTCATGACTTCCTCTGTTTTAGCTTCTGGTTTTAATGGCTGGGTTGGATGTGAAAACCTTCTTGGTAAAAACTGCATATTTAAGGCCGCAATAGGTCTGCTAAGAGCAGCAGTCATTTACGTGCCTTCTCGCCACATGCATAGATGGGTTGGTTATAATGATTATTGATAGTGATGGGGGCAACGGGAAGTTACTGTTTTCTTGTGTCTCATTGTCAACAAGTTGTTACTTTCAAGGAGTTATCAATTGTTGTGGCGAATGGCTATAGCAATTAAAAGAAAGAACGGAGAGACAGATCTTGGTTTAAACGACATGCGCTGACGTCTTTAGTTGGTGATTACCTAATAATTAAAGCAAAGAATGAAAAATTAAAGATTAAATTTCTGATTGTTGTCAAAGATGTGGGCTGTGGAGATGAAAATCCGAGCGTTGAGATAAGCAAAGCCAAAAGTGAGGCGGTCGTGGCTGGCAACTAGGAATGTTTAGACCACGTGAAACATTATCTGCTTAAAAATATGTGATCCTGTGGGGGCAAACAATGCTTGCTAGCTATATTGGTGGGTAAGAGTAGGGAAACAATGAACATCGTTGAAAGGGAATGAATGTGAACTATAGTGGAAGTCTTTTTCTAGGAGAATGACTCGGAGTGGGGACAGATCAGGGCCCTTACATTGTCAATTCTGGCCGCCATGCTCAAGCTCCTACACGCGCCCATTCTGCAGCAATCTCTTGGTCTTTTTCAGTTCAATTCAGTCCCTGGTTCTTGCTTAATCCTACGTTTCAGTCTCCAGCTCTTTGATTCAGGTAATCAAGCTTTTGATTTCCTTGATTCTTATGTTGGATACCACCTATAATTTTGAGTGTTGAATGATTCTTCCACGTGTCTTATTTTGTCATTATTTTTGGAGCTATTAATATGAAATTTAGATGAGTTGTTGATTCCATATCAATTAAATTGGGCTTAATTGAACATAACAGATTTAAAACCCCTGTTGTCATGTAACATATTAAGAAGGGTCCAAATCTTAATTTTTGTAATATGGGTGTGCATGAAATATAATGGGTTGAATTTGTGCGTGTAAGTCCATATATATATATATATGGGATGGTAATAGGTGGATTTGCTTCCCACATCATGAGCTAATTAATATTAATTTTGGTCAATTTGTGCAGCTACGGAGGGACTAGAAAACATGGCATTCATCTGTGTGGCTGTGAGCCTGGTGACTTATTTCTATGGGTACATGAACTTCAGCTTAACGAAATCTGCCACTACACTTACCAACTTCATGGGTACTTCATTCTTAATGGCGCTATTTGGAGGGTTCATTTGTGACACCTATTTGACAAGATTCAAGACTTGTGTCTTATATATATATAAGGGTCATCATCTTATAAGGTTTCTATTTTTCTATATATAAGATATTTAAGAAAACGCTGGTCGATGACGAAAATACTAATAAGCTAGTATTTTTTTTTCTTTTAATACAAGGAGAAAGTAAAATAGGTCAATATAAATTAATAAGCCAAAAACTTTATAAAGACTAATTGATTATTTTATTTTCTATAGAATTGTCCTTACATTATATGTGGTCATTGTATATTTAATTTTATTAAA